GGGAGGCGGCGAGGGCGGGGGCTTCTCCTCCAGCAGCGGGGGCTCTGGGGGTGAGAGGGGCATCAGGGCGGACTCTGGCGCGGGGAAGCCCCCGCTCCGCCCCCCACTGCACGGGTCCCTCAGGTCTGCGGTCAGTGTGGATCAAGGTCTGCTCCCAGCCCTTTCAGGCTCCTCTTCGCCAGGGTCCCGACACAGCCCTCTTCCTGCTCTGCACCCCATACCCCTTCGGATTAGCCGGAGTTCTCCTTCACCTAACACCCCAACACCCATCTCTGCTCCAAATCCCACTCATCTCCAGTTCTTACTCTTAAGCTGTTGCCCTGACCCTGCTCATCTGTCCCCTGTCCCCTCCCGGGCATTTTTTTGTCTTTTTTTTAAGATTTTGCTTTTAAGTAACCTCTACACCCAACATGGGACTGGAACCCACAACCCGGCAGATCAAGAACAGAATGCTCCACCGACTGAGCCAGCCAGGCATGGCTGCCCTCCCCTCCAGGACTTTTCATACCACTTCTGTCCCCAGACAACCACAGGAAGCCCATGTTCCCTTACCTTCCTTCTCCAATGTCCTAATAAGCCTTCCCACCCAAACAGGGTGCTCTGTCCTTCCCCATCTTTTTCCTGGCTTCCACATACTCTCACCTTCTGTCCCTTGGTGTGGTCTAATACCATTACCCAATGTCCTTCCATCAAAATCAGTCGTCCCTTGTCCCACCACCACCCCTTCCTCATCCCTCAACTGCCTCTTGCCCCAAGTCCCTACAAAGCTCCTTGCCCTGCCGACACGGCTCCTAGTTCCTGAACGCCATTCACCATCCCTAGCACCTCTTCCTCTCTCGTGCCTGAATGTCTCTTCCTATGCCAACAGCTCCTCAACTCCCCCAAAGCCCTTCTGCTCTGTCAAAATCCCTCCCTGAGACCCCTTTCCAGCTCCAGCGGTAATTCCGAGCCCCTGAATGTTCATCCTGTTGCTCCTTTTAGTCCTCAACCCCTCTTAGTTGCCTCAAAGCCCTTGCTGGCTCTCCCCTCCCGTTTTTCACCTTCCCTCCCAATTCCCCAATCATTCCCTCTGCACCTCTACCTCATTTCCTGCTCAGGGGGGGGTCTTGTCCTTCTCCATCCAAGATCTTCCCTGCCCTTTCCTCGGACTGCTCTCTACTCTGGGGATCATTCATGCCCTCTGCTTCCCACTAACTCCCCATGGGTTTTTCTAGCGTCCCCCTGTAACACCTTAAAATTCTTCCTGATTCCTAAAACTGCCGCTTCTCTGTTGCTGTGTCCTTAGCTATGCGCCTTCCTGACCCTTCCAAGGTTCTCGCAACCCGGTGCTCACTCCCATTTCAGCAAATCCTGACACTCTGCTCAGAAGCTCCCAGCATCTCTCAGCTCTGCTTCAGCCTCGCACCCTCTCGCTCCCTTGCTCCGTTTCCCACCTTCCTACAATCCCCTAGAAGTCCCCTCCATTCCCTAGGACGCCTCTGAGCCCTCAAGCCCCCTCATTAACTGCCACAAATGCCCTTCTCCAAATCAATGCCCCCGTTCCCCCATCAAAGCACCTTAAAATTTGTCCAAAGCCTCTCTCAGGACAGAACAACATCCAGACCCTGCCGCACCCCCAGCCCTCTCTCTCACCCCCCGCAAGACCCAATTAATCAATGTTCCAGTCTCTCCCTATACCCCCCACCCCCTCCCCCACCCAGACGTCCTTCTGTCTTTTGCCATACATCTCTAAATCCTAGCTCCTTCTTGGGCCCCTGAACCCCTGCCAGTTTTCAAAGCTCTCTCAGTACCCTGTCTCCCACCTGTCCCCATCACTTATAACCTGCTCTGTCTCCCACCATTCTCCAGTGCCCCCACCTTGGGGCGCCTTAGCATACTGAGCATCTACGGACAAATTAGAAAATGATACCTTTCTCACAACACCTGTTTGCTCTCAGTTTGTAAACACACAAATCTACTTCATCTACAACGTGAACGATGCCCCTTAAAACAGTGCACGGTCTGCACAAGCGTACCCAGTCACCTGAATAACAAAGAAAGCCTCATCCCACGCCCAAATCATCTTCCCAGAGCTCACCGGGTGTGCCATTGCTGCTGGCACTAGGGAGCCCCGGGAGAGGGGGGGGGCCTGGCACCGCAGCCTCAGTCGCCAAGGAGGGCACATCTGGGGTGGAAGTGTCTTTAGGCCCAGCGAGGGGTGGGTCGTCGAGTGCCGAGATGGCTGAGGAGATGCTCTCTTGCAGGTCCCGGTTCTTGGCCACAGAGTCTTCTTCGTCCGAGGAGAAGGAGGGCAGCGTCTCCAGGTTGCGCTTCAGCTCCTCGTCCAGCCGCTTACAGGGCGAAGGGCAGCCCAGCCCTAGCCCCTCGCTCTCGGCCGCCTCCAGTGCACCCCCCAGCCCGAAGGCGCCGGCAGGCGGCGGGTGTGGCACAGCAGGGGCGGCAGGAGGCTGGGGCTGCAGGCCACGGGCCGGCCCGGAGGACGGCACGCTCTTGGGGGGGCTGAGTGGGGGCGTCAGGCCAGCCTGGTAGAGCGGCGGATGACGCTTGCCCGACTTGAGGAAGTCCAGGAAGGAGGCCATGAAGCCGGACTTCATCTCTGGCTGCTTCTCCTCTACCTCCTTGATCTTGGCCTCAATCTTCTCCCGGGTCAGGCTGGAGTCCAGGCTGTTGTGGTCAGCGCCGGGTACAGCATCGCCAGAGGCGGCTCCCAGACCCTCGCCGGCCTTGGGCACAGACAGCTTGATCTAGGTATCGGGGAAGTGGGGAGTCAGGGTCCACAAGTCTGGGGCCCCAAGTTCCCTCCCAGCTCAGAGGCCGAGGTGCAGGCCCCCAACCTTCCCTTAAGACCTAGGTCAAATTCTCACTTTTAGCCCGTAGAACCCTAGAATTCAAGCCCACAGACCCCTCCTCTCAGGTTCCGGAATGACAGGACTGGAGTTCCTCCCTCAGCACTCACTGATCCCTCTTTGCTTCCAGCCCGGGAATCCAGCCTCCAGCCCCTCCTCCCACGAGACCCAGGAATTGAGAAACCCCCAATCGCGGGTCCTTTGAGACCTAGAACCTAAGAACCCAAGCTCCAATACGCTGTGCCTCCCTCTAGACCCCCAAAGTCCCAATTCTCAGATCTCTCTGATGGTGGAAAACTAGAATCTCAACACTCAGGTTCAGCTCCTCACAGGTTCAAGAATATAAACCACAGGGCGCCTGGGTGGCTCAGTTCGTTGGGCCACTGCCTTCGGCTCGGGTCATGATCCTGGAGTCCCGGGATCGAGTCCCGCGTCGGGCTCCCTGCTCAGCGGGGAGTTTGCTTCTCCCTCTGACCCTCCCCCCTCATGTGCTCTCTCTCTCTTTCTCGCTCTCTCAGATAAATAAAAATCTTAAAAAAAAAAAAAAAGAATATAAACCACAGCCCCCATCCCACCCCAGAACTGCACTCCAAAACCTTTGCTTTCTCTAGACCTTAGCCAACCCGACCCCAGTCCCCCTCACCTTAAGTGGCTTTAGGGGTTCCAGCCGGGTGCCCCCTGCCTCCTCGGCCTTCCTGCCCCGACCACGGCCCCGGCCCCGAGGTTTCTTGGCCCCTTCAGTGGGCGTCGAGGCTGAGGCTGGCCCAGCAGTGGTGGGGACCTCCAATGGGCGGATCCGGGGCCTACCCCGGGGCCGGGGCGGGCCATCGCGCTTAGCCTTTGTGGGCTTGCGGCCACGGCGCCTGGGGCCATCGGGGCCTGGGTTGGGTGGACAGAAGTCGATGTCACCCAGGGGTGAGAGGGTCGGGCGGGAGCGGCAGCTGGACACCAGGTCAGGCAGGCGCCGAGGGTTGAGGCGGATGTCAGCGGGCACATCGGCCTTGTCCTCATCTGCCTCAAACTCGTACTCCTGGGCGTACAGTTTCTTGGGCGTCTGGAACGGTGGGTCACGGCGCCGTAGTAGGTGGAAGGAGGACGTCTTGAGCAGCTTCTTTGGCTTGGTAGAGCAGAATATGGGCGAGGTCAGGCCTCCCTTGGGCTCTGAGGCAGGCGGCGGCGGTGGAGGGGGAGGTGGGGGTGGTGGGGCCGCCTGGTGTGGCCCACTCTGGATCAGGCCCAGAGGCTCCGCATTGACCGTGGAGGGCAGCTCAGGCGGTTTGTTGGGGTCCAGGCCCAGGCCCGGCGTCTCGGGCCCGGCTCCAGACGCCCGACCCGGGCAGTAGGGCCCATAGGGATCATAGGCAGGGGGGCCTGGAGGTGGCCCAGTCCCCGCCTTGGGATCACCCTCGTCCTCGGGCGGCCCTGCCTTGCCATAGTCATCCGCTGCCCCTCCACCGAACATCTCCTCCATGGTGGGGAAGAAGCTGCGCTCCTCATCTTGGAGCAAGGAGTCAGGAAAACAGATGGACGTGAGTGGCACAAAGCGGGGGGCCTTGGTGCCTTGCGGGCTGGGGCTGCGGTAGGCACCGGAGGGATCCTTGCCCTCGGTATTAGGTGGGCCCACGCCAGTGTCACCAGGCCCCGGGGGCAGTGGCTCCAAGGCCCCAAGCAATTCCTGCATGGCGCCTGGCGGCTCCAGACTCTCCTCAGGTCGCAGGCGGGGGCTGGGGGCACCAGGCTCCAGGCCGTGGCTGCGGAGGTGGGCCTCAAGCTGGAGGGGCATGGGTGGTGGAGGTGGGGGCGGCGGCGGGGGCGGCTGGGGTGCTCCATCACGGGTGGCTGGCTCAAGGAGATGAACGCCAACTTTTGGGGCACTGGGAGAGGGGCTGGGGGCATGGCTGAGGACTGAGGGGAGGAGTTGTGGGGGGGGAGGTGGAGGCAGCACCAGTGGGAGGTCAGGGCCCCCAGCCTCCAGGAGGAGACCGTGGGGTGTGGGCTGGGCAGGCTGAGCCGTGGGAGGTGGGGGTGGTGGGCTCTTTTGGAGGAAGGCCCCCAGCTCCTTGGCACCTGCCCCATAGTGGACAACTGAGGTGGCCAGCCCCTCCGGGGTCTCGCCGCCCCGTTCTGGCCCTTTCTTCTTCTCCTTCAGCCTCCCCAGGCCCAGCTCCAGGGCTGCTGTGGCGCCCTCATCGAGGCTGGCACTGGTACGGATGACGCTCTGTAGATGATACCTCTGGGGGTCCTCCTTGGCCAGCTCGTAGGGTGTGCCTGGTGGACCCCCAGCCCCACCACTACCCCCAAGTCCCTTGGAAGCATCTGCTGCCCCATCTTCACCCACCAAGCCATCTGCCCCTGAGGTCCGCGGGGGGCTAGGTGCCTGCAGGAGATGCTGGATGAGGAATTCCTCATCTTCTGTGCGCTCAGCAGGAGGCCCACCAGGCCCAGCCAGCAGCTCCGAGCCATCCCCCTTGCCTTTGTAGCCACCTGCTCCGGCTGCGTAGCTGCCGGCTCCTGGGGGCGCCAGGAATGGGGCTGAGGCCAGGACAGAACTCAGGTATTTGCCAGGGGCTCCTGGAGAGCCGACTCCAGGCGGGCGGCCGGGAGCAGGCGGTGACTGCAGTGGGCGGATGATGTGAGAAGGGCTGGCCTCCCCACCACCCCCCAGGGAGCTGGGCCCCCAGCCACCGCCGTGACCTGAGAGCGCTGGGGAATGGCCAGTGCTGTAGCTGAGCGAGGGGCTGGCCGTGGGTAGCCCCTGGGAGTGGGCAGCTGGGCCTGGGTATGGCTCGCCCTGAACCCCATACAGCTGCCCCTGCAGCTGATCTGGGGAGTAGCTCTGACACGTGGCCAGGCCGGGAGGCGGGGGACCACTGGGGGGCTGCGGGGGCCCCCCTGAGTAGCTAGGGCCTTTGCTCAAGTCCTGTGCTTGACCCCCTCCAAACCCTTGCCCATAGGCCTGGGGTCCTAGAAGCCCTTGGGGCTGACCAGGGGAATAGGCTTGGCCACCTGCCCCACCAGCCCCAGAGGCCTTCCCAGTGGCATAGGCCGCTGCTGGCCCACCCAGACTCTGGCATTTGGGTGTGGCCGTTGAACGGGGTGGTGGGGGCCTGTTGGCACCGCCCGCAGCTGCTCCATAGCCGCCTTTGCCCGTCTTGTAACCGGGCGACTGAATGATGGGGCGGTAACCTCCACCGCCACCCCCTGCCCCACCTCCTCCAGCCGCCTCGGGGCCTGCAGCCCGGCCCGATGCCCCAGCTGTGGCTCCACTGGGCCCAGCCTTGCTAGGCTCGCCAGCACCGGGGGAGGGCTCCCCACCGCCCAGGGGGCTGCAGGCCAGGTTAGCCCTGTGGCCCATGGAGGAATAGCTGCCTCCACAGCTCAGGTAGTGCTGGAGGGCATGGGCTGGTGGCGGGGGCGGCGGGGGCTGGGCACTGGCTGGCCGCTGGTAGTGCTTGATGACGGTGTCCTGGCGGGGCAGGGCCCGCTCGGGTGGTGGGGGGCCCGGGGCAGCACCCGAGAAGTTGTACAGCTGTGGGGAGGACTGCTCGGCGGCGGCGGCAGCGGCGGAAGAGGAAGCCAGCAGGTTGAACTGAGTCGGGAGGTGGCGGGGAGGTGGGGGAGGGTCTGGGGGGCCAGGGCGGTATGGAGGGGTCTGGGCCGGGCCGAGACCAGCGGGCCCCAGGACACCGCCCCCCGCCAGGCGCTCAAAGCCCAGCGAGGATGGCACCGTGGGTGCCTGTGAGGGCTTCAGGTGCAACACGTCATGAGGGGACAGGAGCCCATTAGCTGGGGGGCTGAACGGGGGGTCTTGGAGGCTGAGGGACGAGGGCACTGGGAAGGGGCGGCTGCCGAAGGAAGCCGGGTGCTGGTAGGCCGACAGGGCAGAGGAGGATGGAAAGGTGCTGGAACCCGGCAGGGCGCCTGAAATGAAGAGCTCCGTGGGGCCTGGCGTGTGCATGGCTGGGGACGATGGAGAAGACCACAGGTCAGGGCGGACCACGTGCCAGCCCCACCCTGGCCCTCCTGGGCCGGCGCTGGGCTTACCTGTTTGCCAGGAAGGACTGCGGAACTGGGAGAGGAGAGTGGAGGCAGAGGGGCCAGGCTGGGGGCCCCGGGACTCCAGGGCTGAGATGAGGTTCATGACGGAGGCGTCGGGCCCTGCTGAGCCCGCGTGGTGGAGGCCAGTGTCGAAGAGTCCAGAGAGGCCTGGCCAAGGACAAGGGGGTAGAGTCAGCTGAGTGAGCTTGTAAGACAGCGTTGAAAGGGAAAAGTTAGAGGCCAAAAGCAAGCTGGGTCAGGGAAAGGGGCTGGAGAAAGCAAAAAGGAAGATGCAAAGAGAATAAAGTGGACACAGCCAAACTAAGGAGACAGGGCCGAGGACAACAAAGGGGAAAAAGGGAGCCAAAAAGCAGGATGAAGTGTACGCCAATCTTAAGAGCAGGGAGCCCAGGAGAGGAAAGGTAGGCAAAGGAGTAGAAAAACCCAGAATCAAAGGAAGTGGGTGCAACAGGACAGAATTCTTATGGGGGGGGGCAGGGGAGACACAAAAGGATTTGGGCAGTTCTAGCAAGGAAGGGGAAGGGAGGGGGTACCTGGGGCCACTTAGAAGGACCGGAAGACAGGCCGAAAGGGGTTGATTAAAAGTGGGAGGATCCCGGGGGGGGAAAAAAATGGGAAAGAAAAAAGGTAAGGAGCCAACCAGGCAAGTTAAGGACCAAATCGGACAATATAATCTCCTTGCTGGCTCAACAAGGAAGAAGGGAACCAATCAGAAGCGCCAGAGGCAGGACGAAGAATAAGGTGGTGGGCAAACCCAGGAAAAAAAGGGAAGGTCCGAAGACTTAGAGCCAATCAGGAAGAAAAGGAATCAGGAAGAAAGAATTCACACAACCAAGGAACCAAGAGGATGGGCAAACCCAGAGGAAAAGGACTGGGGTGGGATAGAGAGGAGGAAAAGCCTGGAAGAGAAGGTGGGATTTGGGGGCTGAGGGGACGGGGCCAATTGGAGCGAAAGAGGCGGGGCCAGAGACAAGGGTGGACGAATCCAGCGTGAAATTGAGCAGGGACCAGCAGCCTCAGAGGCAACCAATCAAAGGAGAGGTAGCAAGGGGCGGGCCAGGACACAGGACACGGCCAATTAGGAGGGGTGGAACTTTCAGCAGCCAACCAGCTGCCTCAGAGGGAGGGCCAGCCCAGGCGGGGCAGGACGGGGGCCGTACCTGCCGGGTGGTGGTTGGTGGCATAGCTTTGCAGTGGGTGGGGGGCCGCGTAGGCCTGGCGGTGTAAGATGTCGGTCTCGGGGTGCGAGGTCCTGGAGCTGCCATAGACCAAGCTGGGGGGAAGGGAGAGATGTTAGGGTGTCCTCCGAGGCTGCCCTAGGAGAAGGGAACTCAGCAAATCCCCCGGGGTGTGGGGGGGAATCTTCCAGCTGACTGGGGGTTATCCTAAGGAACCTTGGGCCCTAAAGGAAAGAAGACAAGGGAATCGGGGTACCCAACGAAAAGAGTCATGAAACATTCCCCATTTGAGCCCCAATAAATAGAGCCCACATAGTCTCACGTTTACAAACACAGCCATGCACAGCGACGAGACAAACAGAAGAGGGTGAAGAGTCGGAGAAAGTGCCTCAAGTTAAAAATGTGAAAGGCATGGACCTCCTACAGAGCCCACCACCCCCTGGATGACACAAGGCCCTGGGGCCAACCTGAGAGGTGCATAAGGACGGCCACTCTACGGCACACACGTGGGAACACATGGCCCTGAACCTCATGGGGTGATGCAAACCGAGTCGGGAGCAGGAGGTAGACTGTTCCCCAAACGGCTGGGATGGGGGGTGGGGAAGGGATAGGACTAGGGGAAAGTACCAGGTACAAGTGCGAACATGAACAACGTCCATCCCCCGGGGTTGAGGTTCAAATACATGAGCCCTTGCAAACCCAGGTATGTGTGCAAACGACTATCCAGCTCACCGGTGGGGAAGGAGACATACAGAGCGCTACGTCCCAAACGGAAAATCCTAACACATGTGGGGTCATGCCCAGCCACGCTGGGAAACCCAGGGGGCGGGGGGCTGGGGACAGGTGAAGAGTGAGGGCACGACATAAACAGCAGGAAAGGGGCTGATTCGCAGGTGAGCAGGCTACCAACTGAGCACGAACAGGGCCCACGCTCACACACACAACCACACACCAGGGAAACATTTGAATCTTCCCATGCAACGGCCCCGATTCAAGAGGTCAAATACTCCACTCCTCGCCATCAACTAGGATTCTCTGCCTTTGGGGGTGGGGGAGCTAAAGGGGGCGTGTCTCAGATTCCAGGACCCCCCCCACAGAACCCCAGCTTGGAAAGGGGGCGGGGCCCTGTGCCCACTCTGCGCGCGGAATTTCGGGGGGGGGGAGGCCGAGTGGCGCGGCCTCGCGCAGTCCCGGAACAATAGGATGGGAGGGGGGGCGCCCCCCAGGTCTGCGTTCTAATTCTCCTTTCCATCCCACCTTTGCAAGAGCAGAGCCTGGGGCGCAGGGGGTAGGGATCAGCAAGCCGGGAATCCAAGGATGGGGGGAAATCCAGGCCTTGCTTCGCCAGTCCCTCCCACCTTCCCAGGGCCTTTCCGTCCGAAATTGTTTTGCACCCCCATTTTCCCGCTGCATCTCTCCCTTTGCATGCCAGAGCTGGCTTTGGCGGAGTTTGCAATTTGCAAACTGGGGCGGCGGCGTTGTTGCAAACCGAGGAAGGCCGCTCCCTTGCAAGCCGGAGGGGAGTTTGCGATGCACGCGTCGCCAGGCTGGCCAGGCCCGGCCCGGCTGGGCCCCCACCCCTTGGCCCCTTCCTCCAGGCCACCCTCGGCTCCTTACCTAGCTTTCGCTGACCTCTCGTAACTCCATCCCGCCCCGGCGCCGAGCGGGTCCCCGAAGCCGGCGCTGGGGTAGTTCCTGTCCATGAATTGGCCGCGGTGGAAATTGGGGGGAGGGGGAGGGGGAGGGAGGGAGGGAGGGGGCGCGCGCGCGCTCTCCTCCGCCGCCGCTCCCTCCGCTGCTTTTTTTTTTCCTCTCTCTCTCTCTCTCTCTCTCTCTCTCTTTTTCTTTGCAGCCGCCGAAGGCCCGGGAAGGCCCCGGGCTGGGGAGGGAGGGGGCAGGGGCGGAGGGGCGGAGGGGCGGGCAAGGGAGGGGGGTGCAGCCGCCGAGCCAAGGAGGGGGGAAGGGGGGTTCCCCCTGGAGGGAAAGGGGGGTAGGAGGGACCCCGCTGTCTCCGCCTTTGCCCCGGCGCTTGCAAGAGAGAAGGGAGGGCGCGCGCTCAGGAGGGGGCGTCCCGGGCGGCCCCGGGGTGGGTGCGGGCGCTGGGTGCTCGCTCTCTCGCCGCCGCCGCCGCCGCCTCCTCCTCCTCTGCGCTCACGGTGCAGCCATCTTTGCACAAGGCGGCTGGGGGAGGGGGGAGGGGAAGGGGGGGCGGGCAGCGGGGTGTCTGGCTGCGCTCCGCTTCCTCCCACAATCCCGTGCAAATGCAAAAAAAAAAAAAGAGAGAGAGAGAGAGAGAGATACTGAGCGCTAGCAGGGCCTGGGGGTGTAGGGCGCAGCGTTTGTACAGAAAGCCAACTCCGCCGCGCGCAGACGCGCCCGGGAATGCAATTCAGTTTATTTGATTTTTATTTTTTTGCGTTGTTTCACTCTTTGTCTCTTTTACAAAGCATTTTAATTTACGAGAAGAGCTCAACTCCAGTCTCCCGGTGCAATGCGAGCCCTCCCCTAAAAAGCACGTTTGTAAATATGCCCCCCGCCCTTTCCCCGGGTTCCAGAGCGCCTGCGAGCGTGCACTGGGAGTGCACGAAAACAGGCGTGTGCATAAGCAGGGCCCTGCGTGTGCGTGGTCCGTGGCATTGTAGGGCGATGGCCTTGTCACACCTGCTCACTCACGCGAGTGGGTATACCCGGCCTACGCGCCGGGGTCTGAGTTTCCACGCACGCCTACCCCGGGGGCGGGACTGGCGGGTACCCCCCCCGCAACAGTCAGGAAAGCCTGGAAGCCCGCGAGTAACCGGGACGAGGGAACACGTTGGCCGGGGATATGCGCGTATCCGTCTCGGCGGAAACACGTGTGCCAGGGTAGGCCTCGGGCCGGACGACCCCTACTCCCACCACTCCCCGAGCTCAGCTATGTAGTTTAAGAGGCCTGGGGGCTCTGGAATCCGCTGTGAATCTGGGGAACCTCAGCTCGGAAGCAGCTCCTCAGCGAGGCCTCCTGAGGCTGCAAGGGGAGGGGCACAACGGGGAGTCAAAGACCCGGCTGTTTTTCCCTCCCTGAACTTAGACCACTCCGACCCGCCCGCGGGCGTCTCAGCCAATCGCAGACCCTCTGGGCATAAGACACCCTCCGGTAAAGCTCCACACAGACAACACTGGGCCACGCCCCCAGATAATTGCATAGGACCCCGCCCCCACGCTCCAAGCCTCGCCCCGGATAATAAGCTCAAAATTCCAAGTCCCGCCCCTGAGCCCACGCCCCTCCTCCCGCAGCATCCTCCCCTCTGCTCCCCACCCCCAGGTAGAAGCCCAGCTCAGTACCTGGTGTAGGGGGGCGGAGGTGCGTCGTGCACCCCAGAGGCCGCCAGAGCCTGCTCGTAGGTGGGGAGGCCTGGGGGTGGGGGTGGAGGCAGGGGCGTCGGTGGGCCTAGGTCGCCCAGGGGACTTAGGGAATTAATGAGCTCAGCCCTGGGGACAGAAAGTACACGGTTAGCCGGGGAAACCTACAGGATAGAGGGACTCGGGAGAAGGCAGGTGGGAAGACCTGGGGACACAGAGACTCTGAGGGTGACATGGGGACACACATGGAAGGGAGAAAGAGCAGGGCAAAGAGGGTCACCTTCAGCCTGACCCGGCACACAGAAAAGCACCTCAGAATGACAGGCAGACAGATGAACAGAGAGGGGCCGACAGAAATTAACTGCTGAGACATACTCTTATTCACAGACACACATGCGTTCCAGCTACAGGGAGAGCGATGGAGAAAAAGCCCTGCAGAGAGACAGGCAGACACACACAGAAGCAGACACAACACAGAGATACACCCAGTCACAAATTTCCCCGTGCCACTCTTAACAATTAACCCTTCTGAAAAACCCCCAGACCCACCATACTTTGAAGACTGACACTCAAGCACTTTCTTAGACCCTGCCACTAAGAAAGACACGCCTAGACAACTCAGAAGGCACGCACACACGTGTTCGGCAGCCCGGCACCACGGAAACTGACATATCACAGACACCAGAGACCACACGCTGCAGCCTCACGAGATACAATGCAGACAGAGTGATAAACATACATAAACCGGGTACCATGGAGACAGGCGGCAAATACTGATTGAGCTCCTACTGTGTGCTGGGTACTGAGGACATAGTCAGACAGACAAACGGCAATAACCATACCCGCATGTTCTCACAGACTCTGCACCTGATAGTCTCCCCAGATCCTTCCTCCGTGCCCACCTGTCCCAATCCTTGACTCATCTCTCCTTAGGTCCACCCTTCCTTCTTCCTCTGCTCACCCTGCTTTCCAGCCCCCAGGCCCCTTCTCTCTGAATCCCCCTTACTCTTGGGGACAGGGCTGCTGGCCTCCACCCCGTCGGCAATGCAGATACCAAAAGGCTCCCAAGCTGGCCAGGACAATGAGCAGGATGCCAGACGTCAACCCCACAGCCAGGCCTGCTACGTCCACTCGTCCACGCCCTGCAGTGGGGGGGTGGGGGGGTACTGTGTCAGGAGCTGTCACTCACCCCGACAACCCAATGCCTTCCCCCTGAAGGAAAAGTACAGGCCAAGAAGCAAAGCAGAACAGCGGGAGCCACTTCCTAGGTGCATGAACCCAGGCAACTCAACGCACTCATTTCTCTAAGCCTCCATTTGCTGCTCTGTAAAATGGAAACAATAAGTCCTCCCCCATGGGCTGTGGAAATTCATTGAGATCAAACACATAAAGGGTCTATGATAACTTCACCTGGGACTAAAAAAATATGGTAGCGGAATCTGCATGGTGACAGAGGCCCCTCCCTGGACAAAGCGTGGCTCAAGTCCCTCCTAAGCAAAATCCATCTGCTAAGAGGGCAATGGACACACTGAAGTTGGGGGTGGGGAGCTCAGGTAGGCAACTGCAGAGGCCCCCACACTGAGCATTACCAGATTTAGCAAATAATAATATATGATACTAATTAAACATTAATTTTAGATACACAATGTACATTTTGTAGTGTAAGTATGTCCCTTGGAGTATTTAGAATATATTTATACTAAAAAAATTTATTTGTATTTGAAATTCAAATTTAACTGATGGGGAGGGTGTCCTGTGTTTTATCTGGCACCCCTCCCCCGCTCTGGAACATAGTCCCTTTACCACATCCAGGCCACTGAGGGGCCAGACTCTGAAGGAAGAACAGAATCGCAGGAAGGTTTCTGAATTGACCAGAAGGCTATGAAAAATTCATTTATCAATGGAGGAATTTCAGGAATGCCCCCCCCGCCAACTAACAGATTTTTGGGTGTCTAGAACTCAGGTGGGCCCTTTGCTAGGACCCTAGGCCTTTAGCAATCCAAGGCCACTTGTCTGAGGGGAAGCAGACACAGGGAGAACACCAGCTTGGTGAGGCCCTCCTGGGTCTTGCCGCTGGGGAGACTTCCTTTAACACTGGTCAGGAGCTTTGCTCAAACAGTAAACCCCAGGCTTTCAGCCCCCTTAGCAAAGAGCTGCGCTGAGAAGGCACGCCCTCCTGGTTCTGACATGTTTCAGGTGGATTCAAGGAGCCACCAGGCCTTGCTAGGCCTGCAGTGAGGTAGTTATCTCCCCTAGCAACCAGGCTCCAATGTGAGGACTCCAGCCCAGACCTAGGGCTTTGTTGCTAAGGGGCATCCACCCCTAGCAACCAGGCCACAAGGGGATGGGGCATGTGGTGCAGGGAGGAGGTTCCTCCCTGGGCAGTGGGCCTTGGGTCCTGAGCCTGGCTAGGTGTGGTTGCTAGGGAGGCCTCCTTGGTAACCAGGCCAAGGCCGGGATGGGGCTGTGGGGGAGGGGAAGCCAGCCAGGTAGTGAGTGCTGCAGTCTTCCTTGGTCTGGCCTGGCCGGGCCTGGTTGCTAAGGAGCAGTCCCCCCTTAGCAACAAGACTGAAGCCATGGTGGGGCCTTAGAACTCACAGTAAGGGTTGGGGGCGGGCAGCCCGGGAAGGTGAGGATGCACAGGCTTGCACCGCCTGGCCTGGCCAGGCCCCGTTGCTAGGGAGCAGCCCCCTAGCAACCAAGCTGCAGAAGGGCTGGAGCTCTGGACTCCAAAGAAGGACTCAGGTGGGTCAGGGCCTCTGAGCCTGAGGTCTCATAGGCCCCAGGGCTGTAACCCCTCTCCACCTGCCCTTCCTTCTTCCTAAAGACATGAGACCTCCTCCAAATAAGGTGTGGTGGGTTCCTCAGGCAGGGGCTCTAGTCTCAAAGAAGGGCACTCTTTTAATAACCACCTCCAGGATACTCAGGGAGCACTGAATTTGGAGGAGGCAAATTTGGGGTAGGGTATGCTGATTCAGCCTCCAGGAGAAAGGGCTGCCTTAGCTGCACAGAACAAGAGCCCCTGCCCACCCCCCGCCCCAACTCACCTCCTTTGCCATTGTAGATGTAGCTCTCCCAAAAGCGCTCCTTGAAAGGATGGAAGTCAAGCAGGTGGAAAGACAACATGTCAACGGGGAGATTCCATACCCCCCAAACCAACCCACCCTGATTTCTGAGACCCAGGGTAGAGGGAATTGTGGGCCAGAACATCCCAGGGCCTGGAGTGGCTCTCACCGTCAGAGTATTGTCCTCAAAATACTCCCTCGCCTCCTCCCAGGAACACCGCTCCTCATAACACTCCCGTTCCAGGTTCCCTGGCGTGAGCAGTTCCAGGTCCCAGTGATTGGCTCGTGGAATCCGGCTATGGCTTCCTAGAAAGCTCTGGGCCTCTGGGGAGTCCAGGAAGACTCCAGGGCCCAAAGGACACGAAGGACAGAAAAATGGAGAGTTCCTAAGACTGGGGAACATGGAGGAACCCGAACCTAAGGGGATGGAGACTATGGCGTTCTGGGAGAGGAGGGGACTAGAGGCAAGGGTTCCTGAGTCAGGGGAAGGTGGATGGAGATCTGTGCCTGGACACCAGCTCATCCCTCAAACACTCACCTTGGTCTTGCTCCCCACTGGGTGAGGTGTCTAAGCAGGTGGTCAATCCCAGGTATAGCAGCGGCAGAGAGGGGTAGCCCCTCATATTTTATGAACACCTGAAACCAGGAGTGAAAGAGATAGCAAGTGCCTCAGCCCCTGGGGAATGAGGCAACGTCACCCCAACTGGACTCTATGGTCCATGATAATAATCATATAATCTTAGCAGACCCTTACGTAGCCTGTATTCTGGACCAGGTCCCTGTGGCAACTCAGTTTAATTTTCACAGCACTGCTATTATTATCCCCATTTTACAGATGAGGAACATGAGGCACAGAGAGGTAAAAGAATTTCCCAAGGTAATACAATTTGCAAGATTCAGAAGCATGATTTGAGCGAAAGCAGCGTGCCTCCAGAGACTGGAGCAGGGAGCTTATCTTTTTCTCTACCATGTCTGCAGCACCCAGCACGAATCTTGGCACATAGTAGGTGCTCATAAACATGTCCATCAGTGATCAGGATTCCTTTCTTCCTGGTAATTTCCACCTATACTTGCCTCTCCCTGTGCCCATTTGCCACATCCACCCACAGAGATCAAAGATTACAGGAGAGGCAAAGAGCCTATATTCTCAGCTACAGGGGGAGAAGGGAGCAGAGGTCCTGGACTCCTGGGGCTGGGGGACAGGAACTTCTGAGTCCCAGAGGGGCAGGGAGCCAGGAGGCCACGGTCCCCAAGCCAGGCTCTGCCTCCAGGGGACTTTCACTTACCTGCCCAGACTTGTGAGCACTTTCCCTTCCTCTTCAATAGGGGCTTCCTCTGCCAGCTTCGGCCAGCTGTGAATGGGGGACGGAGAGAAGGAAGGGGAGAGGAAGGAGGGGTTCCCCTCTCCCGGTAATCAAGACGATCCTGGTTTCTGGCAGAGGGGCGGGGTTTTTGATTACCTGCCCTGGGCGGGACTCAGGTAAGGGACAAAGTATTTAAAGGGACCTTAAGATGAAGGGCCTAAGGTCCAGAGCCCCCCTGGGAAGCCAGGGTCTCCGACACCCGACACCGTGGGGGCACTTAGGGGATTGGATATGTACCTCTTCCCTTGTTGGCCTCCCTGGGATGGAACTTTCCCCGGGTGAGCTAGGGAAATAAATGTCTAGGTCTCCAGATAGCTAGATAGCTAAAAACTGGCGGGAAATGTATGTATGCCTTGGTCCCTGGGGGTAGGTGGACGATGCTGTAGTCAATTCCCATTTCCTGAAGTGATTTGAAGGACTTTGACTTCTGATTTCTCAATTGCTCTGCTTATAAGCTGGGGTCAGAGGAACTGTCCCTTCTCAATTGTCTCTCACCATGCAGTCAGTGACTGATGGACTTGGGGGAGTGAGCTTCCCAATCTCTGGATGAAGTGGCTAATCCTTAAATTCGGACTTGGAGAAACGCAAAGCCTGGGCCTAAGCAGGAAATCGCCCGCCCGGGGAAATGCCTAGTGTATACTAAGCGCGCCCCAGATTCACGCCAGTTGCACTAACCGGAACCTTCAAGTTGCTACTCCCGTTTCCGGAGGGAGGGAAAGAAGAAGGGAGGACTTACCAAGTCCGACGAGGTATCTCGGCAACTCGGGGCAGCTCTACTTCCTGTCTTTTTTGCCGGGCGGAAGAGGGCGAAGCGGAGAGGGAAAACAGCCCTCCTTTCCGGTGTAGGGGCACAGTTGAAGAAGCAACGAAGGAACGAGGAGTCGTTTGTAAGGTGAGTTCCAGGCGGTGGCGGGATAAAGTTGCTGCGATCGCCTTCCCGCGGGCTAGATTCCTGGGGTCCTGAGGGAGTCAGGGACAGGATTTCGAATTCCCGACTCCCTGTCAATCATTAATAGAGCACTCTAGGCCCCAAAGTTTGAAGCTGAACTACATCTCCCAGCATCCCCTGGAAGTAGCTCAGCCTCCCTCCGCCAGTTCGGCTAAGAGTTGGTATTTCACGGTAGAGGACGAGGGACCGGGAGTCCCAGGGGGAGGAGAGACTGGGACTCTTGCGGGGGGTGGGGGTGGGGTGTAAGGAGTGGGAGTTGAGGAAGACGGACCCCCCTTTCCTGCCTCAGTTTCCCAGACTGTGACGGGGAGGGCGGAGGAAATTGTGCAGCCGCCCACCGCCGCCTTTGCACCTTTTTGACAGCCCGTTCCTTCTCCGAGTTGGTGTAGGGTTTGACCTTTTCCTCCATGGAGTTCTGGCGCCGGCCGGCCTGGGTTCTCATCCCGACGGTGCCGTTGGGTCGGTGTGAACTTGGGCCTCGAAGTGTTTTACTTTGATGTTCTGTTATGAAAATGGTCAAACTTGGGGCGCCTGGGTGGCTCAGTCAATGAGCGTCTGCCTTCGGCTCGAGTCATGATCCCAGCATCCTGGGATCGAGCCCCACATCGGGCTCCCTGCTCTGCGGGAAGCCTGCTTCTCCCTCTCCCACGCCCCCTGCTTGTGTTCCTGCTCTCGCCGTCTCTCTCTGTCAAATAAATAAAATCTTGTATAAATACATACATACATATATACATATGAAAAATCCTACCCATCGTGACACATCATCCTTAAAACTTTAAGGATGCATGTTGTAAAAACAAGGGGCATTTACAGGACCGAAATACCATCATCACACTTTCCAAAAGCAAGAGTTCTGGAATATTCCCTATTACTTGGTCAATAACCAAATCTTCTTGTGTCAAAAATGCCTTTAAAAGAGAAGTTTAATTTGTTTGAATCAGAATCCAGTTAAGTCATTGCTGTTATGGCTCTTAAATTCCTCTTAATTTAGAATAGCCCCCTCCACCCCACCCTTTATTCTTCTTGGTGTAATTGATTTATGAAAGAAACTGGATCAGGGACGCCTGGGTGGCTCAGTCGGTTAAGGTTCTGCCTTCAGCTCAGGTCATGATCGCAGGGTCCTGGGATCGAGTCCTGCGTCGGGCCCCTTGCTCAGCGGGAAACCTGCTTCTCCCTCTGCCTGCCACTCCCCCTGTTTGTGCTCTCTCTATCTGACAAATAAATAAAAAATCTTAAAAAGAAAGAAAGAAAGAAAGAAAAAGAAAGAAAGAAACTTGATCACTTATTCTGTTGATCATCTGGGTATGAATTTGTCTTTTTGTTTTCTTGTAACCTCATTTTACTTATTTCTCCATGCAGGGGTCAACAGGCCAAACCCAAAATCTGCTGACTTCCTTTTTTTTTTTTTTTTTACAAAAATCAGATTTATTTATATTTATTTATATAGTTCACCCATTTAAAGTCTACAGTTCAGGGGTGCCTGGCTGCTCAGTTGGAGGAGTGTGCAACTCTTGATCTCGGGGTCATGAGTTCCAGCCCCACCTTGGGTGTAGAGGTTACTTAAAAATAAAATCTTAAGAAAATAAAGTATACAATTCAGTGGGGTTTTGGGGGGGTTTTTTTTGTTTGTTTGTTTGTTAAGTAGATTCCACATCCGACATGGGGTTTGAACTCATGACCCCAAGATCAAGAATCGCATGCTGTACCTACAAGCCAGCCAGGCGCTCCTCAGTGGTCTTTAGTATATACACAGAGTTGTGCAACCATCACCACAGTCAGTTCTAGAACATTTTCATCACTCCAAAAAGAAACCCAGGACCCATTATCTGTCACTCCCCACTCTCCCCTCCACCCCAGCACTAATATCCACTACTCTGTTTTCTGTCACTACGGATATACCTAATCTGGACATGTCACATAAATGGAATTTTTTTTTTTTTTTGGACTGGCTTCTTTCAGCATAATGTTTTCTTTTCTTTTTCTTTTTTTTTTTTTTAAAGATTTTATTTATTTATTTGAGAGAGAGAGAATGAGAGATAGCACGAGAGGGAAGAGGGTCAGAGGGAGAAGCAGACTCCCTGCCGAGCAGGGAGCCCGACGTGGGACTCGATCCCAGGACTCCAGGATCATGACCTGAGCCGAAGGCAATCGCTCAACCAACTGAGCCACCCAGGCGCCCTCAGCATAATGTTTTCAAGGTTAATCCATTCTGTAGTACGTATCAGTACTTCATTCTTTTTATGGCTGAATACTGTTCCTTTGTCTGAGGTATACCATAGTTTGTTCATCCATTCATCAGTTGATGAACTCTTGGATTGTTTCCATCTTTTGGCTCTTCTGAATACTATGGATATTTGTGTCCAAAGTTTTTGTGTGGACGTGGTTTCATTTCCGTTGGGAGTGGAATTGCTGCATCAAACGGTAACTCTGTGTTTCAGCTTTTGAGGAACCGCCAGACTGTTCCAAAGTGGCTGCCCCAGCTTCTATTCCCGTTGTCGGTGCATTGAGGGTTCCAGGTTCTCCACACTTGTGGTTCTCTGACCCTTTTTTTTTTTTAAGATTTTATTTATTTGACACACAGCAAGAGAACAAGCATGGGGAGCCACAGGCAGAGGGAGAGGGGGAAACAGGCTCCCCGCTGAGCAGGGAGCCCGATGCGGGGCTCAATCCCAGCACCCTGGGATCATGACCTGAGCCGAAGGCAGATGCTTAACGACTGAGCCACCCAGGCGCCCCAACAAATAATTTTTAAAAAAGATTTTATTTTTAAGTAATCTCACACCCAACACGAGGCTCGAACTCACAACCCCGAGATCAAGAGTCACACGCTCCACCAACTGAGCCAGCCAGGCGCCCGCCTTTTGCCCATCTTTAAATTGAGTTATTTGTCTTTTTATTATTGCATTGTAGGTTTTTTTTGTATATTCTAGATAGAGTTCCCTTATTGGATACATGATTTGCAACCCCCACTTGTTTTTGTATAACCTACAAACTAAGAATGGTTTTAACATTTTTTTTAAAAGATTTTTATTTATTTATTTGACAGAGAGAGCACGCAAGCACAAGCAGGGGGAGTGGGAGAGGGAGAAGCAGGCTCCCCACTGAGCAGGGGATCCTGGGATCCTGGGATTATGACCTGAACCAAAGGCAGACGCTTAACCAACTGAGCC